CGTGTAATTTTATGTTCAAAAACCTGCTCCAGTTTGTAGTTGAAAATTAAAAATATTTAATTGCGTGTACCCCAATGATAACTTACTCAAATTATTTTAATGTATTTTTAGTTACTATGGATGCCTGTAGTCATATATGTACCAGCTCTTGCGTTCAATCAAGGTAAGTGTTAGAATTATGTAATTTCGTTATTTAGGACATTTCATCAAAATCTGGATCGATACAGTGTAATAGCCATTTGGGAGCATTATTTTGCATGTAACGTTATAAAGGAATTTTCGTTGATTTAAATCTCCAAGGGATACGCGCCCTCTATTTTTCCATGTCTGATCCATTTTACATTCGCTAGTTCATAAATGCAATTAAAATTCAAATAAGCATTTTAAAACAAAATTATTGATTTTGATTGCAGTAACGGGGATTAACGTACACACGATAACACCTATAGTTTGCCTAATATGCATTTTCTACACAAGTGCAGTAAGTACAGAACTTTTGACAGGTTTAAATCCAATGCATAATTGGTCCTCTGCTTTCAGGGTGGCATGAAGGCCGTTGTCTGGACGGACGTCATCCAATCTGCCGTTACTTTAGGTGCCATACTCGTTGTACTGATTAAGGGTGTAATCGATGTCGGTGGCCCGGCAGTAGTTTGGGAACGTAATATGGCAGGTAAACGTTTAGAAGCACCGAATTTCGATCCCAACCCGACGTTAAGGCACTCCGTGTGGACAATGATGGTTGGAGGCAGTGTTTGGTACACGTATGGAGTTTCGTGCAGCCAGGACATGATTCAACGCTACTTGTCTCTGCCGACGTTGGAAGATGCGAGGAAAGCTTCAAGGGGGTTCGTTTTCGGAATGATCTTAGTCATAGTACTGCTGTCCTCTATTGGAATGCTCATCTTTGCCACCTACCACGACTGCGATCCCCTAACTACCAACGTGAGAAGTTTTGGGGGAGATTATGACAAGGAAATGTTTGACTTTTTATGTTTTACAGCTTGCTGCAGCAAAGGACCAGCTGCTGCCTCTGTTTGTGATGGACATATTCCAAAACTACCCCGGTGTAGCAGGAGTTTTCGTGGCCGGGATTTTTAGTGCCGCCCTGAGTTCGTTGTCTTCAGCCCTGAATGCTTTAGCTGCGATTACGTTTGAGGACTTTGTGAAACCCTATTTTGGAAATAGGCTTACAGATAAACATATCAGCTACACATTGCGCGGATCAGTGCTTATATTTGGGGTGATTTCAGTAATTTTCATCTACATCGTTGAACACTTGGGCGCGGTGATGCAATTAACGATGACCCTTAGCTCCACTTCCGGAGGGCCACTGTTTGGTTTGTTCGTAATGGGTATTCTTATGCCATGGGTAAATGCAACGGTAAAATGATCTATGTCAATTTCTGCTCATAAAGTTACATCCGTTTCTCATTATTTTATTTCAGGGAGCCCTCTATGGTGGAATAACAGGATTCTTGTCCATGTGCTACCTATGCTTCAGATCTCAAGCATCATTGGCAACAGGGGAGATAATCTACAGTACCAAGGATGTGAATGTCTCCGGGTGTAGCTATCAGTTTACAAATACCAGCAAACCTGCTCCCACTTTTGATGATATGGAAAAGTCCCTTCATCACATATCATACCAGTACTTTACACTTTTTGGAACTATAGTTTCGTGCACCGTAGGCTCTCTTGTAAGCATAATAAGAGGCAGCTATGACAGAGAGCCGATTGACCCAAAGTTGGTGGCGCCTTTCATCAGAAGGTTTATGGTTCGAGAAACAAACACTCCGGAAAAATATCCATTGAATGAAATTATGAAGGACGAATGTAAAAATTGCAATGTCAATCAACCGGAGTGAGATCTTAAATAAACTATGGTAGTAAACTGAAGTTTTTCAATAGTTTTGAAACCATGCATTATGTTTGTAATTGATCACCTATATCCAACAGATACCTATCCATTTTTTACTATTATAAATGAGATAATGCAAAATCAACAATTGAAAAGGCCTCATCCGCTTTTGTAAACAAAACTTCGTGCGGCCATTTCTCGTGAATCAGAGCTAATCTATGCAGACCCAGGACATCATCAGGTATTTGAAAGCAACTCCTATTCGATTTTTTTTTTTGTATGCGTAGGCGAGCTCCGTTTCACGAGAAAAGGCTGCAAGGATTTTTGCTTACAAAAACTGATGAGACCTTTCTAATTGTTGATCTTGAATTCTTCGTAAAAACTGGACCGATTACATTAGCCATAACAAATTGCAATGGTTTCAAATGAATATTAAATCTGCTTGTACGGTCGATAATGATGTCGTAAAATAGTTGTTAATGCGTGCTGCCGACGAGAGTGATGTCGGGTGAATTGTATCAGTTGAGAGTTTTCGTGCTTTTGCTACCGATCCGGTACAAATCGTTAACATGCGATATTTTGCCTTGCGTAGGTTAAAAGAAACGACGTTGTTTTAAATCTGGTTTATTAACACTCCGAATACGATGCCTCTGAAAAGCGTGTAACGGCAAGTTTGCAATGGCATAGCTTAGCCATTTCTTGATGTATTTCAAAAATCGCGGTACCACTAATATTCTTATTTATGATCTTAAAAAGATTGAAGAAAGGGTCGTCTACTTTTTTAAAAAGCGAAAATAGTCGTTACACGTTTTTTTTTAGGGTTGTGTTTATGGTCTTTGCAAGTGACTTAAGATCTATAATTTTGATTAATTCGCACAAATTTTCATAATTAGCCAGAATACAGTCATGGTTCTTACATATGGATCCTGGAGACAACGGAAAGGTCCTCTGGAAGATCCGGAACATTCGTAAAAGTGGTCAATCTATGAAACTGATCCTAAAGCTCCGCGTTTTTTTTTTAAACATTTGGAACTGTGATATAAGATAAAATTTGGAGTCGTGACATAAACATGGACTAAGATGGCCATGGGACCGTCCTCCGGAAGATCCGCAACATCCGTAAAATCGGTCAATCCATGAAACTGATCATAATGTTCCACGGTTTGTTCGAAAACAATTGGAACTGTGATATAACAAAGAATTTGGGGTCGTGACATAAACATGGTCATGGGACCGTCCTCCGGAAGATCCGGAACATCCCTAAAAGTGGTCCAACCATGAAACTGATCCTAAAGCTACACAGTTTTTTTATTCAAAAACACGTGGAACTGTGATATAAGAAAGAAATTGCGGTCCCGGTTAGCCATAAAGCCATCCTCCGAAAAATCCGAAACATCTATAAAAGTCCATCCATTAAACTGATCCTAGAGTTCCGCAGTTTTTTCGAAAACACATGGAACTGTGACATAAGAATGAATTTGGGGTCGTGACATAAACATGGACCTGGATGGCCATGGGACCATCCTCCGGAAGATCCGAAACATCTATAAAGTGGTAAATCCATAAAATTGATCCTAGAGCTCCGCAGTTTTTTTTTCGTGACATAAACTTGGACCAGGATGAGACCATTCTCCGCGAGATCCGGAATATCCATAAGAGTGCTAATTTCATGATGGTCGATTTTTCTATTTGCTTGTTTTTGGTGCTTTGCCTCCCTCCCAAGAAGAGTTTTACCGGGTATTTTTTTCTTTTCTTGGTGCTGGCGTTCTGCCTTCCGGAGGATGCACGCGAATGAAGTGTTAGGCAAAAATTCAGTGCAAATGAAAAACTTCGCATGTAATTAAAAATGTTCGGTTGTAAAAACAACGCGGAAGATTTTTTCGATTACCAAACCAGCGAGTGAACAAACCAGCGCATTTACGGAGGCAGAATTTGGTGAGCTCCATCTGATTATAAATCAATCATAAATGCATATTTCCAAATATTACTAAATACGCGCCAGATTTCGAAATCTGGAAGTGTGTTTGCAGTACCATTATTCATATGATAACGGTAGTGCTTACACGTGGGGCTTATTGTATGTGAAAGTAACCTCGGAATGGACGTGAATTACCAGGCATTCTGAAATTGATTGCTGAATCTGCAGTAGAGCTATCGCTTTTTAACTCCCGGACTAAACTTGCTTTAACTTATTACATCAAGGATTGTTGTAAGCAAATTTCTTCCATAATACCAGTGCCGGCCAGTGGGGGTTAGAATGAATACACACACACAGGCATGGAAAACCATTTGCATTCATTTTGTGCATTCATTTACATTCATTTGCCCCTAACTTTTTCATTAACAGAATTCCTCAAAATGATGTATCGAACTTTTGTAGGTTTTGCTATAACCTACAACTTTTGTTAACAACTCAAATCCGTATCTCTTATGCATGACGAACCAGAGCGAACAGAAGCCACTACTGTGACAACAACAGTAACAAGTTCTGCCCGCTCTAATTTGTGATGCATATGAGATACATATTTGAGTAATGGGCAATAGCTAATAACAAAACCTACTAAAGTTCTAAGCAACATTTTGGGGAATGCTGTTGATGAAAAAAGTTAGAGGCAAATGAATGTAAATGAATGCATGAAATGAATGTGAATGATTTTCCATGCCTGCACACACACACACACACACACACACACACCACCACCGGTACAAGTGCCCGTAAACCGGACGATTCACTACCGTACAAGTGACTGACCATAAACAATAAACAACCATTAAAAATGACAGTTGCAGTTCTGCCGTGATCCAAGTTCACGGATGCAGGAACGCAATCATGGGAAGGAACGTTTGTGGGTGCATGGTATCACAAAATCATGGTTTTATTAGGTATTTACAATAGCGTTACGAATTTGCTGCTCACGCTGAGCAGACGTGAATTAAGTTCATGGGTTTGGGATTAGGTTCTTTAAAATTGGATTAACTGACAGTTCAGGCCTTCATGATTTTTTGTTCACGAATAACGGAGCGTTTTTTTTTGCGTGCATACGATCCAGATGCTTATGAATTGGAAATTTCTTTTGGTCGTTCGGAAAATGACTTGAAAATGTATCCAACTAGCTATGTCTTTCGTTTACGTTAATGCAAATATTGTACATGTCCAAATTTTATCTTCATGACCTAGACAAACAGTAAATTAAATAATACCCAATATCCTCTAATAACTAATCTACAAATAAGTCAACGTGATACATTTTAGCAATTTCACCGTCGATCCAATCACGATAGTAAGGAACATTGACGTACACCCCTGGAACGTCCCGAGTCCCGCAGTGCGTTCCGAATGCTACAATTCCTACCAGATAGTACTGATTCTCGGAGTTTGGAACCTTACAAACCAATGGTGATCCTCCATCGCCTTGACATGCATCTTTGCCGGATTCACCTCCGGCGCAAAGGAAACTTTCGTGCAGTTCAACTGTATCACTTTTAAGCATCTTTCTCAGATTTTGCTCACATTCGTCTCGAGGTAAGATCGGTAGTTTAGTCCGTTTCAGAATAGATGAGTTTCGCCCATGGACGTCCTGTCCCCAACCACTGAATACGCATCGTTTCTTATCAAAGTTTGAATTCTGTGGCGGAAGGCATACCGTTCCAACTACTTCTGTAAATTGGACGTGGTCGTTGATGAACAGAATTGCAATGTCATTAAGAAGCAGTTCATCGTAGTACTGGGGATGGGTGATCGTTTTCAGTACCGAACGGTCCTGTGGTGGGTAGATTTCAACCATACTTTCTAGATCCCACTCGCCTAATCGTACTTTCAGCTTGTCTGGTTGCAGGTTCTCGATGCAGTGTGCAACGGTGAGGACTACTTTGGACTGAATTAGGGATCCTCCGCACTTGTAGATCTCGTACCCAGCTTCGATTACGTACACAAAAGCCATCCATGGAAATTCACCTGCAGTGGAAGAAGAAATAGATTTTTTGAGAGTCAAAAAACTTGTTTTGACGAAAAATGTAAAACGATATGGTTGCAAATTCTCAACAAGTTTTTCGGAATTATGACATCATTAGATGTTATGATCATATATTCTACTTGTAAGATACAAGAAGAGGTTGCAAATTATGTGCTTGTCACATTCAACCTGATGAATGTGAGCGTCTTAGTGGAAGAACTAAATACCTCTCGCTCTTTATATATTAGTCCTGTCATTTTCGATTGCTGAGAGTCGCAATCAGCGATTTTATCAATTTTCTTTCACTCACTCGCTCACTCACTCAGCGATCATAAAATCACTGATTGTGACTCTTATGGCGGTAAGCTCCAAGTTGGATTAATATATAATACCGACTCTGTTTGGATAACCTGTAAAATGTTTCCTTAGAGTCGTGTTGATTAACTTTGATGACGAAATCAAGGCAGCCGGACATTCTTGATCGAGATTTAATTCGAGGATAATATCAGTTGGAGCTAACCACCATTAGAAAGAAAAAATGACAAATTGTATGTGTCAACAGTGGCGTAGCAAGAGGTGAGCAGGATTCCCCTAGCTCAAATTGTTTTTTTTAGAAGTTCAACATTCTTGAACAATTTTCAAGCTTCTTCTCAAAATTTTCAAAGTTACGTAATTAATTTTTTTTTATTCAAAGTTTCTGAACCGCGAGATTTTCTTGAGTTGCAGAAACATGAAGTTTTTCTAAGGCCATTCGATCGAACGTTATTGGACTGTTGTGGTCATTGAATGTCACTAGCCCGATTCCAGTGATTTTGGCTGACGCGGGGATCTTACCGTTTGACCTCCTGGTTCTTCAGACTTTAGCTCGTGTTGCCCAGACATGTCTAAACACAACACTGCACTGCGTACTGGCTTTTCTACCCACCACCAAGAGTAGTGAATTTTACACTCCGCACCAGTACTCGATAGCAAACACCAAACGTAGCGACCAAAGCACCGGTGGCGGTGGCCGTGTATAATTTTCACCACCGGTGTCTGATGGTTCGGCAAACACCAGAGCCGAGTGTTTCTGGCTTAGAAAAGCACCGAAGCCGAGTATTTTCGACTTCGGTAAACACGCCAGTTTGAACTTCGAATGACACTGGTCGCCACGGTACGTTCCCTTCTTGGTACAAGCTCTGTGTTTGCATACGCATGGAGGCGCTTGATACTTCTTTCTTTACCCTTTCTTTAATTTGCACTGCATCATGAAGTAGGGAAGGAAATAATGTAGGTAGGTGCAGTAACCCGTCCATATATGCGGTGTGTGTGGTTGGGTTGTGGGAGGGGGAGAATGGGGGGTTCATAGAATATTATTGGAATCGGTCAACTGGGTCCGAGGATATGGCCGGAAAATGTTCCGGTGAATACGGGTTTTGAGTCTACAATCGGCCTAAATCGTGTTAAACTCATCATGTGACACCTCAAATAACATAAGGATTCAAAATGAAGATCGTCCACAATCAAACTGGGCACCATCGGACCTGTTTCGTGTACCTCAGAGGATGAAGATTTGTATCTTACTAGAATAAAGCTACAGAAAAAAAGTTGTAATTACTTGTTTTATTCGAATGATCGTTTATTTCAGATTTTAAATGATTGAAAACGCTGTAGAAATACGTTGATGTTCTTAAATTTTATAAAAGATAACAGTTCAATATATAAACTATTTTTTTGGCGAATAACCAACTTCTACCTTTCCAAAAAGTTCTCTGTTCAACTTGACAAACAAAATGTTGGACAAGTTTTTGTCACTCAGGCGCAAACGTTTATCAGTCAATACCAACCGTAACGCACTAAATGAACGTTCAGCAGAAACCTGAGTGCAGGGAACTGCAAGCGCAACTTGTGCCATGGAATACAGGATTGGCTCGGTTCTTTTTTGGTTCCAGTAGTATTCAATGACTGAATCTGATGACAGCATTCGAGGTCGTAGCGGCATTTCTCTTAGCTTGGTATCCACTAATTGTTTTGACTGATCCGTTGCACATTCTTTTTTTCTTAACATTGCTTCGATACACGAGACTGGAGTTGTTGAAGATGATGGAACGTCAGCTGATTTGATTGGTTCATTGATATCCATCTTAATTTTCTCCCATAGCTTCTTCAAGTGTTGTAGGCCAACACTTTTTTGTTCTTCCGTGAGAAACTCGGATTGTACATAATTTATGCGAGGATCAAGGTACAATGCTGCGAGAAAGGCTTTTCCATCGAACATAACTGCTTGACGTGTATGCATAGCAGCGACCAGAGTACAAACCATAATATTGTTATTCATTTTCTCCAACTGTAATACACATTCTAACCAAATGAAGAAGAAGTCTCCCATGATTAGTGTTTCGCTTTGCAAGCGAACTGTTGCGCTATACACCGGATGAAATGATTCTACGAATTCCTTAATGAACTGCCAGTCTTCTTCAGTTAATTGAACGTGGTTGTTTTCTTCGATTAAGTCCCTAAGGAATTGCTCGTTCTTAGCGAAATATTCCAGCATGATATAAGCGGAAATCCAGCGTGTCTCCCAGTCTAACTTTGGTACACTTATTCCACTTTGCTCAAAAATTCGACGGAACCTTGATAAATAAAGGAAAACTATGTATTAACTAAACATTAAAATTGATTTGTGATTTGATGAACATTTCAATTTAAGTTGAAACAATATAGAGTAGTTTCATGCCAACTGACGAATTAATCAAACTTGACCTTTTCCGATGTCCATGACAATTTGTATAATTCCTTGCTATGGAAAATGATTCCAATTAATGCTGGAATTTTGACTCCCGCCTTGTGTTACAAAATAACTAAATTAAGATATTTCAGTAAATCGGTGGTTCAAAACATCAAGCGCAATCGATTCCAAATCAGGTTTTTATAATTAATTAAAATTTTTAGCTAATTCGGATTCAAACTTATACTACACTGGGGATTACCAGAGAGGGTAAATCAGAGTAGTTACGCAGTAATGGATTATTTACATTCATGCTAGTTCCCTAACTCCACCAGCTCAACCCACTAGCACGAATTTAAGTTGCTCCTATTGCTGGTGTGCTGGTGCAAGTGTACTAGAACTGTACTACAAAGAAGCATAATGTATACAGGGCGGCCGCATCCATCAGTATGAGATTTCCGGAGTAACTGCAAATTCGTGGTAGTTGGTTTAGCTGGTTGGGCCAGTTGATAGTGCTGAAGTAGCATAATGTAAACAGCACATTAAGAAGCATTCTATTGAAAACTCACACCCCCACACACACACACACACACACACACACACACACACACACACACACAAACACACACACACACACACACAAACACACACACACACACACACACACACACACACACACACACACACACACGCACACACACACACACACACACACACACACACACACACACACACACACACACACACACACACACACACACACACACACACACACATATATACACACACACACACATACACACACACACACACACACACACACACACACACACACACACACACACACACACACACACACACACACACACACACACACACACACACACACACACACACACACACACACAGAAAAACGGAGAAAAAAACAAAAAAGAAGAAAATGAGAAAACCCAAAAAAAAATATGAAGGACGGCGGCAAGACGCCAGAAATTGAAAACGGAGGAGCGAACGTGTTCGCAAGGAGCGGGATATTGCAGAGATCACCAGACCAACCTGGAGGCCACAGCGAGTTCCAACAGCAGCAGTAAGCCCCAAGGTGAGCAGCAAGGACACCAAGGAGAGGTAGGTCTTATGCTAAGCCAGGTGTTCACACCGAAATCCAGCAGTAGCACACCCCAAGAAGGATTGCAGCTTGGGAAGACCAAATTGATGGAGGTCAGGAGGAGGATCAATGAACTCCATGACTTCATCAAGGATAAGAGCAACGTCCACAAGGCAATAAAGGAAATGGTGATGGGCATCAAATCCGCCATTATTGCTGCCGAACGTGAACAGGATGTGCTGAGGACGAGATCCGTGACTGCCGAAAAGGCGCTGATCGCGGCCAAGGAGAAAGCAGCAGCTGAAATACAGGAGACGCCAAAGGGACCTCGAAATCCACGCTCGGAGAAGAGGAAAAGGGAAACGCCAGGAGAGGAAGAGGAGTTGAAAAAAGTCAAGAACGACAAAGAAGACAACAAGGAGGAAGGCTGACGTACCGTCGAGAAGCCGAAGGAGAAGTGGAAAAAACGGAAGGAAAAAGACGTGAAGAAAAAAGCTGAACAGAAGAAGGAGATACCCAGGACTCGTCGGGAGCGAAGTAAGGGCGATGCTCTGATCGTCGAAGCTAAGGACAAAACGTCGTATGCAGCACTCCTCCGGAAGGTACGAGAGGATCCGGAGTTGAAGCAACTAGGAGAGAACGTGGTGAAAATCAGGCGAACCCAGAAAGGCGAGATCCTCTTTGAGCTGAAGAAGGATCCTGCTATCAAGAGCTCAGCCTTCAAAGAGCTCGTCGAAAAGTCTCTTGGCGAAGGGGCAAGCGTAAGAGCTCTATCCCAGGAGACAGTGGTCGAGTGCAGGGACCTGGACGAGATCACCACAGAAGAGGAGCTAAGAAGTGCGTTGAGAGTGCACTGCGATCTGGGAGATGTCCCGATGTCAATCCACATGAGGAAGGTGTACGGCGGCATGCAAACGGCGGCTATACGGCTTTCGACAGTTGCAGCGAATAAGCTGTTGGAGACGGGCAAGGTCAAGGTTGGCTGGTCATTGTGCTCGCTGAAAGCCACTCCTCGGGTTACCAAGCAACTGGAGCGATGCTTCAAGTGCATGGGATTCGGTCACCAGGCGAGGAACTGCAATGGCCCTGACAGATCTGATCTGTGCAGGAAATGCGGAGAGAAAGGCCATATTGCAAGAGGCTGCACGAAGTATCCGAGGTGTATGCTCTGCAAAAAAGAGGACGGTAACGAT